GTAATTTTTAAAAAGTAGAACGATAGTCCTTGTGAATCAGAACGCTTTTCTTGGTTCCGGTGTCACCGGTCGTACGGACGTTTTAGAATGCAACACAAAGGAGTCACGGTTGCAAGATGTCAACACTTGGTACAGGATTTTGTGTGTTAGCAGTGGAGTAAACCATGGAGGTTTACGCCACTTTACACCATGGAGGTCCTGGGAGGACAGTTTAGCGACATGACTCCACAGGAGCTGGTGGCTCCTGTCAACACGGTAGCTGTGAGTATGAAGATAGGTGTCGTGCCAAAGTAGGTATCCCCGACAGAATTTGTTTCCCCTGTGCTGGGAGCACTCAGGAAGTACTGATGTTTTCATTTTGTGAAAAAGTGAAAAATTTGTATCGTTACATTACCATTCAGTTTGAAGGTTACAACAGAAAATTATATATTTATTGCTCACGTGGTATCAGATGGGATTATTTTAATAAACCATTAACATTTTGGCTGATAACTATTTTTATTCTCCTGTAACTTTACTATATAAAGAGCTAAATCCTCCAAAGTTTCAGGAGTAATGCGTCATAATAAGAAGTGTTTGTAAACTAAAAATCAACAATGTGGGATACTGTTTGTCCGTGATTTGGACAGTCCAGCGTGTGCTCCCTACGCAGGGGAAACAAATTCTGTCGGGGATACCTACTTTGGCACGACACCGGAAAGGATCGAAAATCTAGCAGCACAAGCACAGAGATGCTAACATTAGCGTGGAGGCTGTTAGGTCCAGAGTGAAGGGGAACGTCCTTACATGTTTAATAGACATTAAAGCTTTAATATGAAAGAAACAACTCTTTTTATCTAGCTGTAGCGTCACTTTTCAAGAAAATCTCACATGGTCAGGTGAGAGACATTTGATGAGCTGACACTGAATGACCTTTGTACCCTTCCTCAGTTCTGCACTCAGTTCTCCAACTTTTGTTATGATGAGTCTGGTTTGCACATTTCTGTGAAGGGAGTAGCAAACTCTACTCTTCTAATATAGCAAATACTTTATGAATACATTTCATCTCTTTAAAATAAATGTGCTGCTGGGAATCCTTGGCACTCGTGTGAATGTCACTTTGACACATAACACCCACCAAACAGTGTTTTAGACTAAGGAGCCCCTCCCCCCCCCATCCCCACCCTTTAGACTAACAAAGGTCATCAGTTCAAACACACTGTGTATAATAGTCTAATATTAATTACAGTAATCACTGGAAGAGTCACTGGGTACTTGGGAGTCTTGGATTTCACCCAATGCAACAGGTGGTCTTGTCTCAACGTGATGCAACAACACTATACTGTCAACAAAGGATCAACACCCACAACAGGTGGCACAGTCTGAACTAATGAGACATTTACATATTAAAAGGCACTGTCAGGCATGTCTTATTAGGTAGATCTCTGTGCCAGTGCAGCTTATTGTGTCATTCTTGTGTGATCATGTCTAAAGGGAAGATGCCCAGTTCCACTAAAATGCAATTTTAGCAGGTGTCCCCCTCATCAAATGCCTAAGAAATCAAAGGGTCTGGTGCATGATGACCACTCCAGACCCAGCTCAGGTTTCCAACCAGGGGGCCTGGGTAAATTTAGTAAGACGCTGTTCACTTGCACTCAACAGTCAGACACTTGACATGCGCGGAGAGAGTAAGGATACAAGTTCTTGAGCAGACCAGACTCATATCTATCGAGAGGTGGCAAAGACCAAACATCTGCCGCTGGGATTAAACACACTATGGAATCATGATATCAGCAGAAGATGGAGACGAGTTAGATGAGGCTGCTCAGAACTATGCCACTGACACCACCTGGAGCTGGGTAAAGCGATTTAAGAAAAAAGAAAATCATCTGCATGTGTGGAAAAAAAACACAAAGGCATGAATAACGCTTAAAGCAAGTTATACCCGTTTGTGTGTTTCAGCATTTGTGCAATGTGAACATGAATAAAATAGTCACGACAACCTTTCAAAGTCATGCAGTAGGTTCTCTGAGTAGAAGCAGGGAGAGCGGGGTTGTATTTTTCCATAATCCACCAGTGTAAGACTAGATGTTACCACTGAAACTGAAGATGACGGGCTCAGACTCATTAGGTCAAGTAAAAGTTACGAGATACCCTACAGCAGTTGTTATCAACTATATTCACAAATGCATCCCCAACACCGAAAGACAGCAGATGTTTTCCTTTTTGTTTTTCCGTATTTGTTTGACATCTTACAGTTAACTTAAATGACTTTTTAAAAACAATCTGCAACCATAAGCCCTGGAAAAGCTCATTATTTTTCCTTTTAGTCTCTGAGTCAGAGTTTAGTCTTTTCAGCCTCCGTCTCATGATCCTCAGGCCAGAATCGCCTCAGCCAATCAGAAACCTATATTATTTTAACAACTGACTCAATTAAAATGTCGTTTAACAAGAATTAGTAATACCTGAGGCAAACTGTGTTGAGTAAGTCCGGTTTATGGTGGAGTCATTTGTAAAAAATGACTGTCAAGCACCTTTCGCTGCATTTTTTTGTATGTATTAAAGTGCATGACCAGATCTATGACAGGACAAGCAAACATTTTACCTGTAAATCAGTAATTCATTTAAATGTTAAATGTTAAATGTAGCACGTTGTCTGCAGAATGGACAGTGTGCTATTACACCCTTACATTGTAAGTACAGTATGTGACCACTGCTTAGGAAGGCAGTGAACTGACATCTCACAAGTCATCACTTCCTCTTGGCCTCACAGGGTGTGAGAACACAAAAGCAAAAATGATTTCCCCTTAGCGGGGCTGTCCTAAAAGAACAAGAACAGCTTACATGTTCACCAGTTGAGGTCTATTACAACAGTGTAAATGCACCAAGTAGAAATTTGAAGCTGATGTTTTTCTTCAGCCGAGCAGGCAAGTGAGACTGTCACATGTCAGCAGGTTTCTTGTAGCCTGACACAGGTCACGTCTCTGACCATTCATGTTGAAAATTAAACTGATATCATGTGCTTTTTTAAAAGTGTACAACGCTGGCTGAGTTTGCCTGGCAAAACAACGTGTTCTTGGAAACATGTCGGCAGCTATGTGGCTCATGTATCCTCGGAGGGTCCAGTGACGCCAGCGTTTGTCACCGACATAATGTGTGTCCCGCCTGTTTACGTAGGCACTCTGGGATAGGCTTACTGATGGTACAGATATACATCGGTATGTGTAACATCGAGTGTTTAAAGGACAGGGTGTTTACTGCAGATATTTAAAATAGTTTATGTAAAAAAACAAAGCGAAAGTGTTTTGGCGTTCAGTGTAACAGTGTAAGCATAACATGTTTTACACTGATGAGTTGTTTTGACCCCTTTTTAGGTACACCTGCTTAAAAGGCTTGTTGCTTATATGTGATCACGTGGCAGCAACACAATCCATTTAGGTATGTAAACATGGTGAGGATCACCCACTAAAGTTCAAACTGAGCATCTGATTTAAGTGCCAGACACGCTGGTCTGAGCATTTCAGAAACTGATGATCGAGTGGGATTTTTCCATATAACCATTAGTAGGGTTTACAGAGAATGGTCTGGAAGTGAACAAACATTAATTGAGGCCAGTTCTCTGGGTGGAAGTCTCCTATTGATGCCTCAGGTCTGAGGAGAATGGAATCTGTACCATGAAGAATTAAGGCGCCCCTGAAGGCAAAACGAGGTGCTAACAATGAATAAAGTGGCCAGTGAGTAAAGATGACCATAGAGTGTAATAAAGTAAACTTCTGCAAAAGCGAGATTAAAAGCATCCTGGCCAAAAATATTTGCATTACTTCCATTTGAAATTTGCATTGAGGAAAAAAATGACTAAGAGCGCCTCATATTTCCTGACACCAACCGTCAGAATTTGAAAAAGGATGGTTGCGAAAGTGCAAACCTAAAACAATAAACGCTCATTTTAAGTTGTGATGGAAAACTACTATGAAGACACATACTCTTCCCCTTTCTGCCTCACAGTCTGGAAAAACAATTAGATCGTGTTCACTCAGAGACACATTTTCCCAGACACACAGGCTGAGCTTGGTTTGGTTGCAGAAGAGCTGCACGTGAGGCTTTTGTAGCGTGTAACCCCGTCCAGTATTTGTCCTGGAGCATGAGGGGAGAAGCAGTCTGCTGTCAGGATTTTGGGCTCTGAGGCACAGAGATACAGACAGAGTGGTTTTGGCAGTAATGTAATTGTACCATTAATGAGAGTAGAGCCGCTTTTTTTTTTATTAGAAATGAAATTGGTGCATTTACATCCTGACTTTGTTTCCTTCTCGAGTATGTTAGTCTTTGCAAACTCAGCGTTTGCATCTTTCTACATTAAATACCTATTTTTGCTTATGTTTAGTGTCCTAATCTCACTAACCACGAGCCGACCACATCCTCTTCGCACAGTCTCACTGGAGGGTCTCGCGCTGTAAGCAAACATGGCATGTGTTACGAGGCAGAGCTGTGATTGGCTAGAAAGATCACCTCACAGCATCAGACCTGACTGACAGACTGGTGACTTTAAATGCTTACGAAGCTTCCACTGCTTCCCGCTGTCAAAGACTTAAGTAAAGTGAGATGTCTTGCTGTAGATTTATTTTTTTTGTTATCAGGGTTACAAGTTTAATGCGACTGGATGTAAACGGTCACGAAAGAGCATAAAGTCACTCTGTAGGCACAGAAGAGCTCCGACAAAGTAAGAAAGAGGGTAATTTTGTTGCCACTGTGGCAACTGAAGCGATTTTTTCTTTCTTCTTGGCAACTCAACAGCTCGACGCTGATTGGCCAACTAACGGGTCGGGGGTTTTTTTTTGCAAGTGACGTCACCCAGTGACAGGACTCCTGAGTGAGAGGAACAGACTCGCTTAGAGAGGAAGAGTCAACGCTTTAACTTAAACGGTAGCGTTTTTGCTCCATGCTCCCAGGAGCTGCATCCGGGCATCAGACATCACCTGTATCGAGGAACAGGAGGTCTTTTAAAATGTTTCGTTGTTTTATTATTCCCGGTTGATGAAACGCTCGTCTCCCGTGTGTTGGTTAAAAGGCAGCCCCTCAGCTCAAACAGGTATGTTTTGGATTGTTTATGTATATTTGACTGCACCTGACTCTGAGATGAAACTGATGATAAACTGTCTTTATTTACTCTGTAGATGTCTGTTATAACCACGCTGGCCACTTGTGTGTCTTTTATCTGTCTTTACGCTCATTAAGCTTTTTTCATTCATCACAAAAAATTCCCGTTTGCCCTGTCAGGAGGTATATGAGTCAGCTGTTTACCATATCGATTAGACCTTATTACACTTTTAGGTGTTTAAACATGCGTTATGGAAGCTGATTTGTCACATCACATGTTTTTTATTTAAACATTTAAATAAAGGAATTTCCTTACATGTAGAAGGTTTTATTTTCTTTCATAATCAGGAATGGATTGCATCTTGTACTGTGTGTTTCTGTGTATTGATGTGGGACTGAACACATTATCTGCTAAGCTGTTCAGCCAGACTCTTCCAAATGAACATACCACAGCTAAACACAAGTGGATGGATGGATGGATCCTTTATTGATCCCACTGGGGAAATTATTTGGTCACAGAGCAGAATGTGCCACAGGCATATATTGTGAGCCTTATACTATGAAAAAATTTGCACACAACGGTGATTTTTAAAAAAAGCCCCAAACAAATATAATAAAAATGAGATTAAGTTGAATAGTAAACAGTAATCGTACCAGAGAGTAGTGCTAATTACATTAATGAATAGCATCCACACTATAATTCTAAAAATTAATTAATTAATTAATTAATACAAAGAGTGGATCTATTACTTTCTTCCATGTTTCCTGTCATATATACACTGTTCCAGTGGTGGATGCTCAGGCTTTATAAAGGCTCAGTTTAAGATAAATAAGGATTCTTTTCAACTGTGAATAATACTAAGCTATTCTAAAGGATACAAATGTGGCGCTGAAAAAGTGCATAAAAGGTCTTCTTTAGATGGAGGAGCTCTTTTTCTGAAACCCAGCCCGAGTATTTTGCTAGTGTTCAGAGACACTGAGATGAAACAAAAAGAGGAACAAACACAAGACATCTATTTTTAGATTAGGCTGCACTGTACTGTGTAACAGTATTTTGCACTAAAAGTCCTCTGCTTGAAAGTCAACAGTGTCGTAACACAACGCCCCGGTGGAAAATTCAGTTAATAATTTAATACAGCAAAGGTAATTTAGAAGAGATCTTTTATAAGATTTAACAGTCGGTGTCTCTGTTCTTCAGACAGGGCCTCGTCTCTTGTTCACATGTCCTCAAGGGGTAGGATATGTTGGCATTTTTCCAACATATTTAAGGCCATCTTTCCCTGGATCACCACCTCCAGCACTCTCATCCTGTCTGTTACAAGAAGCTATACAAATCGTAATAGTAGTCAGTCTTTACCCTCTGTAGCCTGCTTACGGCCAAATATAAGACGCTAAATATGTTCCAATTTTCACCAGCGCGAGGCTAGAAATGGAAGCTGAACTATTTATAAAATGTTTCTATTTACATTTGTTTTTTAAGGGGAACTCTAAATCCTGTTGGTGTTGAAAGGTTGTTTGACTCAAATGGGCTTAAAAAATACATAAGGGGGTGGATGGGGGTTTTATGCATTGAGTTTATGCTATATTTACTGTATTACATTATATACACATGACTTGACAGTCTGGTCTAACTTAGTCTGTCCTTTGACCTTTGATGTGTGAATGGAAAACAGTTGTAAGGCTTTACAGACTCACAGTATGAGGCCCGAGGGGATGTAAGATGTAAGAGAGACAGTAAGGTCAAAAGTGGTAACAGGTTCTTTGTACAGTTTGTAATTACAGATCAGGAAACAGCTTCAACTCCTTCTTCATCTCTTATCCATACAGAAAGCTTATTTTACCTCAGAGTGTTGGAATAGCTCGCCCTATTTCCAGCGGGGTGAGAGTTATGTCACCAGTGCTTTGATTCACGGGCTGAAGATTGCTACGGTAGATGCCCACTCATAAGCGCGTCCACTTTTGAAAGTTGACCGAGTTCAGGAAGAGGTGACTTACGCAAGTCATTTTAATCCATTCACTTCCCCCAGACCCGTCAAACCATGAATTTCGTGGGCCAGTTGGCGGGCCAGGTGTTTGTCCAGGTCAAAGAGCTGTACCGAGGCCTCAATCCCGCCACCCTCTCTGGCTGCATCGACGTCATTGTTGTGAGACAGCCCGATGGCTCCCTGCAGTGCTCGCCATTCCATGTGCGCTTTGGCAAGCTGGGGGTCCTACGGTCCCGAGAGAAAGTGGTGAGAAGATAAAAAAAACAACAACTACAACAAGGGCATCTTTAGAGGAAAAGTTTAATGTTCTAGTTTGTTCAGCTCTCACCCTTTTGCTTTTAGGTGGACATGGAAATCAATGGAGAACCAGTAGATCTCCACATGAAGCTTGGGGAGAACGGCGAGGCGTTTTTTGTGCAAGAAACAGAAAATGATCAGGTAACGATTGGGAGCGTTTCCGCGAAGCATAATGCTGTCTGCATGTAATTATATTTTGATTAACTAATTTGGCCAAATCATCTGATCTCATGTGGAACTGCTTAAATGAACAGGTGAGAAAATGACACAGCAGTGAAGAACTTTATATAAAAAAACCCTAAAAGACTGTTATATTTGTAGCCATATAAAAGGCAGTGCATTTCGATCGTGGCTCAAGAGTTGGGAGTTCGCCTTGTAATCGGAAGGTTGCTGGTTCGAGCCCCGGCTTGGACAGTCTCGGTCGTTGTGTCCTTGGGAGTAAGTCTATGGTGAGTGAAGAGAAGAGGTTTTTATACCTGCCCCCATCTTCCCCTTTTCCTATGGCTATCAGGGCTTCAAGGTCGGTTCCCTTCAGGCCATACTGCAGCAGCTCTTTAGCTGCATCAACATTCTCTGGGACGCGCTCCACACACTCATGCAGCACCCATGAGCGCTTGCGGATCTTGCTCTAGGTGGGATGCAGGAAACAGAAGAAGATG